TTTAAGAATGAAGAAAATAACTCTAATAATATAAATTCTCTTATTCATGTAATTGAACGTATTAAATAAATTGTTATCTATATATCTGATAAACAAAGCATAATGTATGGAAAAAAATGACAAAATATTGTTTTCTAAAAAGTTTATTTATGTAAGGCGTCTTAATAGTAATATAAAAAGGTACATTTTTTCATTTATCCTTTATGACAAAAATAAAGGTGCATATTGTTATTGGAATAAGTACATATAATATTATGCCGATAAATCAGAGTACAACTAATCGCGCATAAAACATGAATTTTAATAACTTAGATAAGATATTCTCACTATGGAGAGGTAAGATAATAAGAGGACTCATGAGATCAAGGATATTAAAAAAAATAAGTATATCTCGAAATAAATCTGCGCAAAACGCAAGTAGCACTTTCGGCTCATTTAAACAACAATCCATTTTTTACAATATATTTGTACTAGGCAACACTTTGGCTGTGCTCACCTTTCCATATTGAGAGAAGTTCTTTCTTCCTTAATAGCATAATACGCTTAAAGTTATACAAATATACTTGTTATTATTAACGTTTTTTTTCTTTTTTCCTATAATCGACGAATAAAGATCATTAATAATTATATCATTTCGTGAAGCCATCACGGAACAGTCGATGTGTTTATATCAATGGCCAAACGAAATATCATGAGTTTACATTACATCACAATCGCAATATTGTAATAATTATATTCATAAACATCATTATTAAATCATGTCATTTTCTTAAATAGCTATACAAAATGACAATTAAAATTTTTAATTTTAAATAAATCATACAAGGTATTTAATATAGATATACAAGGTATTTAATGTAGATATTAAAAAGCACAAAATTTTATCTAATATTCTCAATGCTAACTTTGTTTTATATATTTTTATACAAATCCTGAATACACATTTGTGACAATTGATGAATATATTGAAATATTATTAAAACTGCAAAAACAGATATTTAATAAACTATATTATATCGGATGAAATAGTATCGTAATATTGAAATTTATTTATGAGATTATAAAGCCAATAAATCGTTTAATAACGAACAAGAATATACAATTTTTTCAGAATGATATATATATATATA